GGGACCTCTAAAAAAACGTGATTTGTGAGTGAGGTGAAAGTGTTGAATGATGATGAAAGTATTTTCTTTTTGGGTCACCCTGCCTCGGTGGGAGACGGCCGACTTGTTGAAAAAAAAAAAAAATCTCGTTTTCTTGGTCTCATTTGATAGAATGAAAGACATTACAGAAATAGAGATTTTGACTGGTTTCACAATGATTTTGATTGGTTTCACGACGAGAACGATCTTGAAATTGAACTCAAAGTAGCGGAAATGTTCAATTTTTGCTAATGTTTAAGAGTAAACAAATGACATCACCGTCCAGTAAGTGTCCAACTAACCATTCTAATATGCAGTCATGAATGGGTTGACATTATTTACAGTTATTACAATAATGCAGTAATCTGCATAACAGTAAATCTTCTATTTTTGTGTGAATAAAAATTCAAAATAGAAAGCAAGAGTAATATAAGAGGGGGGGCCTGGAGATGTCACTAATGAACAGAGAAAATGTTATTTTAGTGTCAGGAATGTCTGCATTGGTTATTCTAGATACTATTTTGAAATTGGCATCTTTTTTAATTTGCGTGAAATTGGCTGAATTGCCTATTTCTGACCACTATTGGGTAGTTGAAATCGGTAAATGGGCAGTTTCTTGTACTCAATCGATAGAACAAATGGGGTTCTAAAGAAATAGCCACAAGTTTGGTCGACTTGAACAAAGGAACTGGCTGAAAATAGGGCTCAAATTGGGCAAAATCACCGATGCATATATATTGCCAAAATTGCTAACTTTGACGAGAGCGTAATTCCATAAGTTTTCCATCAAATTTCGTACTATTGGTGTCATTACCATCGGGAAAAGTTTCTCTATCATTTCATAGGAATTTTTTTTTCTTCTTCTTTTAATATTTTGCAATACAGACACTTCAGGATTTGGGGTCTTGAAGTCAAAGGGTTGAAGGGCTTGATCATTTGTGATATTCTGTGCCAGTTTTCATGCAAAATGTTGACTGATATTTTTGGTTGCTACTTCATATTCAAACTTCTCTTTTACATTACAATACATAAAGATTATTAAGTGATTTTTTTTTATATACATGAAAAGTTGTAAACCCAACAGCTACTCACTGTTAAAGATCAAAATTTTATTAGGCTGTAATATTTTGTCTTAATTATCTTGTCGATTTATGCATTAAACGTAATTTGAAGACAAACGGTTGCCTGGATTACTTGTATTACACAGCCATGTTTTTTCAGGTAAATAGTATAAATTTCCTAAAACTGATATAAATATTAGTGTTAGTTTTTCCAGTGTCAGTTTAGTCATAATTTAATCATACTGATGCCCAAACAGGAACCAGTATTGTTTTCTACAACTATTCGTGAAAATATGCTGTATGGTGCTCAGGATCCTTCAGCTGTCACAGATGAAGATATCATAATTGCTGCAAAAGAAGCAAATGCCCTCTCATTCATCAACTCCTTCCCCGAAGGTTTTGATACTGTTGTTGGAGAGCGTGGAGTGATGTTGTCAGGCGGCCAGAAGCAGAGGATTGCAATAGCCCGTGCCTTGATTAGTAATCCACGTATTTTATTACTGGACGAAGCAACCAGGTATTTTTTATTTTTTTTTTACTTTACACAAGACAAAAATAATTTTTTACAACCTCAAAATTAATATTACAACAATGCACAGTTTACTGTTGATTAACAGAGTATTTATACACCTGAAAATGGCATACACAACCTCTCCTCACTTAACGACAGAGTTCCATTCCTAAGACCACATCACTAACAGAATTCGTCGCTAAGTGAAGAATATACTATAATGGTAGTGGGTTTGTGTCAACCATCTTTGATATTGTTTTAATGTTGCCTTTGCACAATTTATAACATTTCTGGTATGTTTTTAAATGTTTATACAGTAGTGTACTGATTTATTTAGTTTCTTTTTATTAAAACATGGGCCGTCTCCCACCAAGGCAGGATGGCCTGAAAAAAAAAAAAACTTTCACCATCATTCACTCCATCACTGTCTTGCCAGAGGTGCACTTACACTACAGTTTTAAAATTGCAACATTAACACCCCTCCTTCAGAATGCAGGCACTATACTTCCCATCTCCAGGACTCGAGTCCGGCCTGCCGGCTTTCCTGAATCCCTTCATAAATGTTACCTTGCTCACACTCCAAAAGCACAAGTTCTAAAAACCATTTGCCTCCATTCACTCCTGTCTAACACGCTCACACATGCTTGCTGAAAGTCTAAACCTTTCTAACACAAAACCTCCTGTACCCTGTCCCTCCAACCATTCCTAGTGCCAACCCCTACCCTGCCTTCCCTCCACTACAGATTTATACACACTTTAAGTCATTCTGTTTTGTTTCATCCTCTCTACATGTCCTTACCACCTCAACAACCCCTCCTCACCCCTCTGGATAATAGTTTTGGTAATCCCGCACCACCTCCTAATTTTCAAAATACAAATTGTCTGCATTATATTCACCCTACACATTGTCTTCAGACATGACATCTTCACTGCCTCCATCCTTCTCCTTGTTGCAACATTCACCACCCATACTTCACACCCATATAAGAATGTTTGTATAACTATACTCTCATACATTCCCCTCTTTGCTTCCATGGACAAAGTTCTTTGTGTCCTCAGACTCCTAAGATCACCACTCACCTTTTTACCCTCATCATTTCTATGATTCACCTCATCTTTCATAGACCCATCTGCTGACACATCCACTCCTAAATATCTGAATACATTCACCTCCTCCATACTCTCTCCCTCCAGTCTGACACCCAATCTTTCGTTAACTAATTTTTTTATCCTCATAACCTTACTTATGTTGGGGGAGTGGGAGCCAGGTCTACCTACACCTTTTTTTTTTTTTCAACAAACCGGCTGTATCCCACCAAGGCAGGGTGGCCCAAAAAGAAAAACAAAAGTTTTTCTTTTTAAATTTAGTAATTTGTACAGGAGAAGGGGTTACTAGCCCCTTGCTCCCAGCATTTTAGTTGCCTCTTACAACACACATGGCTTATGGAGGAAGAATTCTGTTCCACTTCCCTATGGAGATAAGAGGAAATAAACAAGAAAAAGAACTAGAAAGAAAATAGCAGAAAACCCAGAGGGGTGTGTATATATATGCTTGTATATGTATGTGTAGTGTGACTTAACCCTTAAACGGTCCAAATAGATCGACGTTCAAATCCATAGTGCTCCAAAAGTAGATCTACGTTTTTTTTACATATTTTCAAATATAACAAAAAAATGTAGATAAAAGCTTTTTTACACATTTTCAAATGTAAAACAAGAAAGATCTATATTTTTTACATACTTTCAAATGTTGAAAAAACGTATATATACGTTTGGACCATTTAAGGGTTAAGTGTAAGTAGAAGTAGCAAGACACACCTATAATTTTGTATATTTAGGAGACAGACAAAAGACACCAGCAATCCTACCATCATGTAAAACAATTACAGGCTTTCATTTTACACTCACTTGGCAGGATGGTAATACCTCCCTGAGCGGTTGCTGTCTACCAACCTACTACCTAGGCTACCTACACCTTTTTTTTTTTTTTCAACAAGTCGGCTCTCTCCCACCAATGCAGGGTGACCCAAAAAAAGAAAGAAAATCCCCAAAAAGAAAATACTTTCATCATCATTCAACACTTTCACCACACTCACACATTATCACTGTTTTTGCAGAGGTGCTCAGAATACAACAGTTTAGAAGCATATACGTATAAATATACACAACATATCCCTCCAAACTGCCAATATCCCAAACCCCTCCTTTAAAGTGCAGGCATTGTACTTCCCATTTCCAGGACTCAAGTTCGACTATATCAAAATGACCGGTTTCCCTGAATCCCTTCACTAAATATTACCCTGCTCACACTCCAACAGATCGTCAGGTCCCAAGTACCATTCGTCTCCATTCACTCCTATCTAACTACTACACGAAAATAGACCACAAAGTCGGCATTTTAATTAAAAAAACGGTCGGAGTTTTTTTTTTCTCATTATGCACTGCGTGCTCCAGGATTTTTTTTATATGGTGCACACTGACCACACAGACCCATTCTCTCACATGTGGGCCTACCAGCTTTCTCCTGCTTGATTTGAAGCCACTAGAATTTATGAGTATATATACATCAAACACGGTACCTCGTAAGACGTACATGTATATATATACGGCTGCGACAGTCAAAGGGTTAATAACATAGAAACACAATACATACTCTAGAATGAATAAAATATGTCATTACGTATGTGAGGAGTGGTGGTAGTGGTGGTGTTGGGTTTATCAGGGCCACTGACAGCATAAGCCATACATATAGTGGTGGTGGTGGCAGCAGCAGCAGCAGAGGCCACCACCACTATTCACACTGAAACAGTGTACATAATTTATAAATAAGAAATATTTACACTTACCTTGGAGGAGATGCTGGCATTGGTTTAGGGTGGTGGAAGATAGGCAGGCAGCATATGTTGTCAGTGGCCCTATAACCTTCAACAACATTGGAGGAGTTAGTTTAGTGTCCTTTTTCTGTCGCTTAATTGCTTAACTTACTTTCTGTGCTGTTAATGCTACACTTAATTGCTGGTTGGCGCTATAGCCTTTATCAGTTCCTGCTGCTTTAGTATTGTACATATCATAGAATCACTGAAGGCACATTCTCCCCTCTCTCTTCCTCCTCTACTTTGGTGCTTTGCTACAAGTTCTTTCTTGAATTCTATTGTGTTTCTCACCTTCATTACCATAGGGCTGGCTCTAGGAGCTTTCTTTGGGCCCTTGGTGGCATATTTAGCAGTCACACACAATAAACAAGTGTAAAAAACAATGCATTATTACGAAATGTTTCGTATGACCTCGCAGGGTAGTGTTCACTTGCTGATAAACAATGCCACACTGACTCAGAATGGTGTGTGGGAGGCTTTGTGTGTGTGTGGGCACTCGGATATGCTCCGTATGACCGATGAAACCAGAGGGAATTAACGAAAACAGAGACTATATTTTGACAAAAAAAGCCAGCAGTAACCGAAAATCACGAAATCAGAGGCTAACGAAAACTGAGGGTCCACTGTATATGAATTATATGATTATTTACATTGACTGGGGAACTGTAATTGTAATTTTTCTTTTTCTTGCAGTGCATTGGATGCTGAAAGTGAAAGCCTTGTGCAGGAAGCTTTAGAGCGCCTCATGCGTGGTCGCACTGTTATTACTATTGCCCACAGACTTTCAACAATCAGGTAAAGATGAATGCATATAGAGAGGAAATGTAAACCAGGCAGCTAATATTTAGAATAGTCAGTAATGCATTTTTCAGTGATAATTATAGACATTTTTCTTATTTTCAAGATGTGAATGAAAACTATGATTTTCACAAAAGAGAGTGCTCAAAATATGGACTTTACCAGGGATGAACAGTATATCACAATGAACCAAGTTATTTATGGATTGGCTAAGTTATGTTAGGTACAGTTGCATTATTATGGTGAAGACTAGTGGCCAGAAATGCTCTTTCATTTGCTTTATAAAAGAAAGCTAATTCTTAACTGCTTTCACTGATGTGTTCCTCTTCTAACCAGTTCAACAGCTGGGTCTACTGTATTTCTGGCATACTATGTTTTTTTTTTTTTTTTGGGGGGGGGGGGCAGGACCCCACCATTGACCTCCACCTTAATTTGAAGTCTTTCTTTTTAGTTTTGCACTGTCATACTATTGAAGCTACTCTAGAATATAGTAGTACAGCATAACATCTCTACCAAATTGTTATTAAAACTTGACTGGTACACAAATATTCAGCCAAATTAGGGCTTGTACTTTATCACCTAGTCTTTAATAATGATTCCAACCGTAAGAAAAGCTTTGGGTTTTTGCATATTTTTCCAGTCCCTGGACTATGAGTAAGTGACTGTCCTTCTTAAGGTCAAGTCATAAAGACCATCATGGAGAAATTCCCTTTGTATTTCTAATATCATAAAGGGCACTTCACATTTCCAGTGGCTGTATTTTAATACCTGTTTGTAGGTAATCCTTTTCCTTGTTCTTCCACTGTTTGTGAAGATGCTGTTAGGAAATCCATCCTTTATAACCTTGTTTGTTATCATGTCTTCCCTTTTCCTCCTATCGGCCAATGAGGAAATGTCTAATGCTTTCATCCTTCAAAACTTGTATTGTTTAGATTTAAGAATCATTTTGTAACTCGTTTCTGGGCTCATTCTAGTGTCCACATTTTCCCTTCAAATAAGAGAATTTCTTATCCTCTTTCATAATTTGTATTATCTCACTAATTTTCTGGGCATTGTCCAGAGGTATGTTCAGGAAAACTAGCATCCCCATTGAGCCTTGCAGACTGGCAGTAAAGTGTACAAGTGTAGAAGGATGATGTCTAGCTGTTCTCTTTCCAGAGCAATCATCACTTCTAAGATGACAGTTAAGTTGATTGAGGGTAGGGCATACTTATCTGATCCATGGCTACTTACTTGATAAGGGGGCATCTCTTGGTGCTCATTTTGCTGCACATTATAACAGTTTTTTTTTTTTTTCAACAAACCGGGTGTATCCCACCAAGGCAGGGTGGCCCAAAAAAGAAAAACGAAAGTATCTCTTTTTAAATTTAGTAATTTATACAAGAGAAGGGGTTACTAGCCCCTTGCTCCCATTATAACAGTTATGCATTTTTAATAGTGTGCCCTTGGTTATTTTCTGAAAACCTTTCTTTGTAATTGTTGTCTGCAAGGACATTGATAAGATTTTAGGTCATAGGTGTAGTACTGTACACCATATTGTTTAATGAAATTTATGTGGGATGCTTGGTTATGTAATTTTTCACTCTTCTGCCATTTCCACTATCATTCATTCTTTAGCTGTTTTTCAAGAAGTGCATGGGCCTCAAGATTCAAATGCTCCATCAGACTGTATAATCTTAATTTATAAGGTTTTACTTATTTTTTTATTGAGCTTGTGTCTACTAAGTTGTACTGTATGTACTGCTACCCTTACTTGTTTTATTTACTGTGCATGTGTTTTGTATATTTTGGTTCTCTCTAGTTGAATGATCACTGGGTCACAGTGATCATTTTTAAAACTGAGTTGAACTTTTGTGTTGTAATATTTGATACTATAGTTAAAAATATTATAGTTAAAATATGTTAGTGATGCAACTTAGTGAGCCTTGATGCTGTTTAATGTTGGGTGTTGATGTTTACTTTGATGTTGAGTGTTGGTGTTTATCTTGATGTTTAGTGTTGAATGTAAATATTAGTCTCTGGTGAAGTGTCATCTTCACTTCCTTACATCATCATCATCATCATCAATCATTTGCCTCTAACTTACCCTTCATTACTCACCTTAAGTCCTCCTTGTATGTCATAGAATAGGCAAGGAAGAGAAAATAATAGGGAGTGGGGAGATAATGAGATAAAAGGAGAGAAGAGAGAAGATAATTTTAAATGTGAAGGTTAAAAAAATTTAAGAGGAAGTGAAGGAAGGTGTTGGAGTGAGAAGATAAATAAATACTCTTTATTTCTTCAAGTACATGTCAGCTGACATACTCCTATATAGAAAGCCCCTTGATATGCAGAGCATTTCGGGCAAATTAGGTAAATTTTCTCCCCAGGATGCGACCCACACCAGTCAACTAACAACCAGGTAGAGTAGGGCCCCGCTTTACAGCGTTTCGCTTTATGGCATTCCGCTAATACAGACATTTCAAATTATGACTAAAACTCACTACAGTAGTCCCCCCAAATTCATGGGGGTTACATTCCAAGACCACTGCAAATTTGGAAAAACCGTGAATTCTGGATGCGGTTAAAAAAATGCCTATAAATGCCTATTTTTATGTGTCCCCAAAACTTCTTTCAACACACCGGCTGTATCCCACCGAGGCGGGGTGGCCCAAAAGGAAAAACGGAAGTTTCTCCTTTTGCATTTAGTAATATATACAGGAGAAGAGGTTACTAGCCCCTTGCTCCCAGCATTTTAGTCGCCTCTTACAACACGCATGGCTTACGGAGGAAGAATTCTGTTCCACTTCCCCATGGAGGTAAGAGGAAATAAACAAGAACAAAAACTAGAAAGAAAATAGAAGAAAACCCAAAGGGGTGTGTATATATATGCTTGTACATGTATGTGTAGTGTGACCTAAGTGTAAGTAGAAGTAGCAAGACATACCTGAAATCTTGCATGTGTATGAGACAGAAAAAAAAAAGACACCAGCAATCCTACCATCGTGTAAAACAGTTACAGGCTTCAGTTTTACATTCACTTGGCAGGACGGTAGTACCTCCCTGGGTGGTTGCTGTCTACCAACCTACTACCTAAAACCAACCTACTACCTAAATGTCCCCAAAACACTTTAATTTAATTTCAAACTCAGCTTCATACATCACCCTTAAAAAATAAGAATGCATACAGTACTGTACTGCTATGTTTCCCGCAGTGCTAGAATGTAAAATACCGATGTGACCCCCATATGTATTGTAATTCATACAACCCCATTTTCTTTGGTATACTTACAGTAAATATAGGGTAAGGGAGGTTTTGTGGGCGAAGGGCTTGGACTTCCAGCAGGCGTGCATGAGCGTGTTCATTAGGAGTGAATGGAGACGAATGGTATTTGGGACCTGACGATCTCTTGGAGTGTGAGCAGGGTAATACTTAGTGAAGGGATTCAGGGAAACCGGTTATTTTCATATAGCCGGACTTGAGTCTTGAAAATGGGAAGTACAATGCCTGCACTCTAAAGGAGGGGTTCGGGATATTAGCAGTTTTGAGGGATATATTGTGTATCTTTATACGTACAGTGGACCCCCGGTATTCGATGGCATCGGTATTCGATAAATCCGGTATTCGATGCATTATATCGCAAAAACTTTTCCTCGGTATTCGATTGAAAACCCGGTATTCGATACGATTCGTACGAGACCTGTCCACATGTGGCCTGAACTGCCCCTTGTGTGCCAGTGTTTACAAGCCAGCCAGTGTGCGCGCATCTAAGGATACATTCGGTACATTCCATATTATCCATATTATCACTGTCTTTGGTGCTTGTTTCTGCAAAATAAGTCACCATGAGCCCCAAGAAAGCTTCTAGTGCCAACCCTGTGGTAAAAAGGGTGAGAATTAGTATGGAAATTAAGAAAGATTTTGAAGGGTTTGGGGCTAACCCTGAGAAGCCTATACCAGTTGTGGAATACATTGTGCCTACTTCAAAAATTAAGGAAATGTGTGCACAGTGGGTTGAAGTGCAAACCTTTATGGATGAAAATCACCCTAACACAGCTATTACACTGACAATGTTGTGGCTCATTTTAGACAAATCGTAAAGGAACGGGAGGTACAGAGCTCTATGGACAGATTTGTTGTGCGACAGAGGTCCAGTGACTCTCAAGCTGGTCCTAGTGGCATTAAAAGAAGGGAAGTAACTCTGGAAAAGGACTTGCTACCTCAAGTCCTAATGGAAGGGGATTCCCCTTCTAAACACTAACACCTCTCCCCTCCTTCCATCCCATCAATCATCACCAGATCTTCATTAAAAGTAAGTGTCAATTATTTTATTGTTATTGTAATTATTCTATTGCATTAAACTTAATATTTCATGTAGTAAAATTTTTTTTTTCATACTTTTGGGTGTCTTGCACGGATTAATTTGATTTTCATTATTTCTTATGAGGAAAATTGATTCGGTTTTCGATATTATCGGTATTCGATGAGCTCTCAGGAACGAATTAATATCGAATACCGGGGGTCCACTGTATATGCTTCTAAACTGTTGTGTTCTGAGCACCTCTGCAAAAACAGTGATTATGTGTGAGTGAGGTGAAAGTGTTGAATGATGATGAAAGTATTTTCTTTATGGGGATTTTCTTTCTTTTTGGGTCACCCTGCCTCAGTGGGAGACAGCCGACTTGTTAAAAAAAAAAAATTAATTTAGTAAAAGTAAAGTTAAATGTACAGGTACTCACCAGTATATGGAAATTTTGCTGAATTTACATTAATATTTATGTTACAAAATTATTAAATTATATTTTTCATATTTAGTGTTAAAGCACATAAAAATTATATACAGTGCTACATCGAGTTACAGAAGACTGTTCGAGTGCCAATACTGAACGAATTTGTTCCCATAAGAAATAATGTAAATTAGATTAGTCCGTTTCAGACCCCCAAAAATACACTTACAAAAGCACTTACAACAATACACATAATTGTTCAAGTTGGGCACTGTTTGAAACTGGAGGTA